ACATGTACTGCACCCACAGATAGGATGAATTTGGGGAGCCCAGGAGGAGCCGTTCAAAGTCGGCATTTGATTCTGGAAGCTTTGAGTGCATGTCAGCCGTGAGATCTTGCTCGATCTCTTTCTTCTTGCGTCTTTTCTTTTTGCTTGACTCGTCCTCTTCGCTGCCTTCGTCGGAAGAAGAAGCTTCATCAAACTCCGCATCAGACCTGGTGTCACCAGGGAACCAAGAAAACCCTTCAACTTTCAAAGGCGCAGCTTGTTCGGGAGTCTGAGATCTCGGCATCGACTGCGACTGGGTAGGCACAGCTTTTACTTGTGGCAATGGACTGCTACGTTTGCTAGCCAGTGCCTTTGAAGGGATGGACTCGTGAGCATGAGATGAACGTAGTGACGGAACGCGCGGTGTTTTGTGGACCGCCACTACACTCTCTGCGACAGGACTTGATGTAATGTGGCTGGTATCGGCCACCTTGACAGCTTTTGATAATGACGCTTGACGAATGCTTGCGACAACTCGTGGTGGATTCAGGTCAACGGTTAAAATTCGTACTTTGACGACTCTTCCCGCGATAAACATGTCCTTCAATTTGCTTGAATAGTCACTGCGAAGCAAAGCGTCAATCAAAAGCAAAACCAACGACGAAATTGAACAAACCTTGCTTCTCGAGACGGCACAAACGCCTTGAGATCGTTGTAGAATCGGACAATCAAGCCTTTGTCCACAACTCGGTACACTACTGCATCTGTGATTATCCCGACTTTTGCCTCCTCAATAGAGGTCAGGACCGGTAGAGTAGATTCAATCAACGTCTTTTTAGCCGTCAACTCAACTCTCATGCGTTCGGGGTCGACGGCAAGAACCTGTGGATTTCCTTAGCATGCATCACATCTAATGATTACAATTGCGTACCCGGCATTTTATGCTGCCTCCAGCCTTGAACCTTTTTGATGGATGCTTGAGCGGTATATCTGCGTAGTGATTTGGCCATATGATTCCATCCGCATTACAAGAGATCGACACAAATAGGGCGGAATCCGTAAGGCGTTTGACAGTGCCTTTCAGGACCTCTCCGACTTGTACATCACCTGCCTGAAGGAACCTTTGATCTAAAATTGAGGGTCGGAGGGACAGCTGCAGTAATCCGTCCAACGGATGGTAGCCTATGACACGCGCTCTATGAATGGTATTCAATCTCCATGGGCCCGAGGAGGAAGAGAGTATTGGAACATGTCCATCAGATGTGTGAGATATCTACCAAGGAATTAGTTTTTGGATACTAGAATGATGTGAAACCTTACATGAATGAATCCATCAAGGTGAGGCTGCACTTCAACGACGAGTCCACGTTCCGGCTCTACGCGTTTCACAGTAATAGCATCCAAGATCGTGCCATTGGGATACGCCAAATGAATGGCAGTATCATCAGTGGAAAGTTTTTCTTTCAAGTTGACAATGTGATCCAAGAGCGACACAGAAAACTTCGGCGGTGAACTTCCGGCAATTTCGTACAGTATTCGGGCCTTCACTTTCTGCCCTATCTTGAATACTTTGGCAGGGTTAGTGGGTACGTTGAACTCGTCAGCTGTGGCATTGAAAAAGCCAAGTATCTGTAAATTGATACCACTTGGTGAAATTCCCGTGATCAATGCTTGACCTAGTATTCCTGGCAATATGGAGGTGACATTATTGACTTCTGTGATCTGTGAATTGGATTATGGTGAGGAAAATCGCAAATCGTGATCAGCAAGACTGACTGAAGATGACTGTATCACTTGAGGATCGACCGAAACTGTACATATTTTCTCGTTGCTGGACATCTTCACGACAGCGATATCGAGCAGTTGGCCAACAGGAAGCTTCGAACAGTCGGAAGCACCTTTTTTGGCCTCTTTAAAGGATAGGAAACCAGAGGAGCCCTGTACACCGATGTCAAGAATGTACCCATGGTCTTCTACACTTTGCACAGCCGCTGAGAGTGTCTACGCGAGGCTTAATCATGATAAAATGATGTGATCTAAGATATTGCTCACAAAGCCAGGTTTGAGATCTGTTTTAAGGACTCCAGAGTTTACTGTCTTGGGTACAAGACTCAACTCGATGCGACGACTAGCTTTCGCGGCTTCATCCCTTAATTTTCCGATTGCAGAAACGTCCGTAGATCCTGATGCGTGCACATTGGTCACAATTGCACGGACGTATTGTCCCGCATGGAAGAGTTGAAACAAATCCGGCACCTCCGTCTGAGAATCGGATTCCCCATCATCAACGGATTCGGTATCTGAAGGCTCTTCTTGTTCATGCATTGATTCGAGACGATTAGTCAATTGAGATGTAACTTGTGTGATAGGAACGTGACCCATGAGCTGGTTCGGTAGGGATATAATGAGAGCCAGCGGTTGTATTGATGCGATTTGACCAAGCAATTTCATACCCGGAACAATGCGCTGCAAATGCGTGATTGAGTCCCTGCTCTCCAGCTTCATGATGTGAAAGCTACCTTGTAATTGAGATGCTCGATGCGAACTACATCTCTCTTCGACGTAACACTCGCCTTGCTTTTGGCATCAGATCTACTCTTCTTTTTTTGAGTCTTCCCAGACGCCTACAACAAATCCTGCTCTGTCAAGCTCATTTGCAGTAAGACGAGCAGAACTCACAGCAAATAACTCCTCGTTTGCTTCTTGTGTAGCTTCAGCTCGGATGGTCTTAACCTCTGCAGCTGTTAAGCTAGTTCCACCTCCTCGTGGAAAATCAACCTCTTCGTCCATGAGATTGGATACGAGTTGGACAGGTTTTTCCGATACATCTGTTAACCTGTCTTTCACAAATTTACTCTTTTTGACATTGCGGGGCGAGTTATCCTCTGGGGCACGTTTCTGGCCAGCCATGCTCTTGATAAATGCCCGGATCGGGGAGTGTCAACACTGCAGCGCGTAGTATCCGACCGTTCGACACGTAATGGAGTGGAAGCTTGAAGATATCTTCCCTACGGCTGCGAGTTCGGGTGTGGACTGCAACTTGCCCGTTACTTTTGAGCGACTCCGAGAAATTACAAGCAGCTGATTATGTCAGCACTAGTCATCTCTTCCAACCACCTCATCATACTCGCAAACTTACTATGGGTGAGTCGCCTCTTTGTCCTTAATGACATCCCTCGATTACCAATCTTTCTAGATTTTCAAGTAAGTCATGTCTTGTGTGATTTAAGAATTTAAATTCACCTTGCTCTAGAACCGTGTCGGCTCCAAGTTCGGTGGAGGTGGTGTCGCTGGGGCTTCGGAGACCAACGTGGACAGGCGCGAACGTTTACGCAAACTTGCGCTTGAGACGATTGATCTTGCCAAAGTACGCTCTTGTTTTTCTTGCACTCCAACGATAACTTGATGTGTCATTTAGGATCCTTATATCTTAAGAAATCACTTGGGTGGCCTCGAATGTCGTCTCTGTCTGACGCTTCATACCAATGAAGGTTCATACCTGGCTCATACTCAAGGAAAGAAGCATCAGACCAATCTCGCTCGTCGTGCGGCTCGTGATGCTAAGGACACGCAGTTGATGATTGCCCCGACTCAAAGCAATGTACAACGCAAGGTGTTCCTCAAAATAGGACGCCCAGGCTACCGAGTAACAAAAGTGCGGGACAAAGATACAGGCAAAGAAGGCATGATGGTTCAGGTCCACCTTCCTCAGATCAAAGCGGACGTAATCCCTCGCCGACGATTTATGAGCGCTTGGGAGCAAAAGAGGGAGCCCCCGAACAAGGCATACCAGTATCTGATCGTAGGTGCGATTACTTCCAAAGTCACACGTTGCTTATTGGATGTTAGGTGGCTGCTGAACCGTATGAGACAATTGCTTTTCGCATTCCTGCGCGCGAGATAGAAGACGAAGCTGATGATGCCGGATATTGGAACTGGTCATATTGGGATCCTGATACGAAACAGTACAGCTTCCAGTTCATGTTCCGTTTGACTTATTGACGCTACCTGCTGCTCACACAATGTTCCCTCCACGTCGTATCTGTACTCATTCCCGCCCTGAATTATGGGATCATTTTTGCCGTGCTTGGTGTGGTTTATGTCGAATATCACATGCATCACCTCCGATATCGGATGTCTCGATTCGATACCATATCATCAACAACGCGGTGAGCCCCAGGGTTACCACACGTGTAGCAGACTTCTCTGTACTGTGGAAGGCGCTTGTGGGATTGACCCAGCAGACCTGTCCTCTTTGGGCGTTTCCACGGACACCGAAACTCTCGGTGTCAAAGTTCTTCCTGGAGGCAGTAAATTGATTGGCACGTCGTTAAAGAGTCCATTGCGCTCAATATGGTAAGGGCGATTTGGTGGCAGCTGTGCTCGTCCAGGCACTTAATGGACCAACTAATTCTTTGATCAAGAATGCGCTGTTCATGGATGTTGAGATCGTTCCTGGCCCACGTTACGTCGCGGGAGCACGAAGGACTGAACCCTGCATTACCCTGTATCAGTGAAACCGGTACTAACTAGAAGCGCGAACTTTGAGCGATAGCACCTCTAACTAAAGGGGTTATGTGGGGGTTGCGTCCCTATGGTCGGAGCGGAACTGACTCTTTCTACTCAGTCATGCAGTGCTTTGGGGTAACCCCTGGGCCTGGGGAATAAAGCCATGATCTATAGCATTACAGAATGACAGATGGATATGGTGCTATGCAGATACCCATCTTGATTAACTCGGCCATGCATCATGCGCTCTTCGGACAGTGAGCGCTTTTCCCTCAATGGAGGTGCGGGTATTGATCGCTGCTCAGGTGCTTATAACTATGGTTACTAGCAGTCTTGGCACGGCGTTATTCGTTTCACCGTACAGTTATCGCATAGCTGCCTCAAGGCCAGACCTTATGGCGCCCACCGAGAATGAAATTGCATCATGATTGAGGAAGGATTAACGGTATAGCAGAATCAATATGTTGATTCAAGTTATATAAGGCTCTCATCAAAACTTCACCGGTTCACTGATGGCCATCAATCTGCGGCGTGATGAAAGTATGTATGTACATCCAGTGGCCCTTATTCAAGCTTGACACCGTAGGAAGCCTATAATATAGCTTTTCCGGAATCCGAAGCAAGAACTCGAAGCACGAATCGGAAGCTGGGCACAGGATAGTGACGTATTGGTGACCATGATCCTCATGTACATGTTTACTTTAAATCAACTCCTTCCTTCTCGCCGCCTCACCACCGCGAACTACTTATACCCTGAGGTCACAGTGTCCTAGACCCTTTCTTCGGTTACCCCACTGCTCCGCTTGTCGTATTTGCAATGTCTAGTAACGTTGTTCAGGATTGTGGACCCATCCTCCTCGGTGGCTTACTAGCCTTCGGGTGCGTGATTAGTCTCGATATACAACCTGCCTGACACGAGTCTTCATAGCTTATCGGGTTGTGTAAACATGCAATTCTTCGTGTATTGGCGGCTGTACTCTTACGAGTCTTTGCGTGCCAAGTCTCTGGTATGGAAATTATTCTATGAGCTTCCACTTTTTAATTGCCTACACAGGTCATTGCAACTTGGTACGTTCAAGCGACTTTTTGCACAAGTTCGGCGACAATATAATTTCAGGCTGCTTGACTTGTGTCATTCTGCATTTGTGGCAATCGCCCTGTGGGATTCCATCATTATGCCCTACAGTAATATGAATGAATCTGACGATATCTCTTGGTACGCATGGTCTCGTTATTCACCATCAACTGGAAATTTAATGTGCTACTTTAGGAGTGTTGGTGTGAGTATTAGTAATCTAGACCTATTGGACTAAGGATTATAACAGGCCCTTCTAGCCTACAGTCGGGCTTACTGTGTGTTTTCATACGTGTGAAACTGTTTGATCCTAAGCAAAATATTCGCCAGGCTATGATCACCTTCCTCGTCCAAAGGTCAGTTATGTTAGACAGCTAATACATTATCCTCACTCGTCGTCTCAGTTTTTTTGCGTACCGAATCTACAGACGTTCGTACCTTTCTTCAATAATGTTTCCCCAATACTAAAGTTGGTCGATGTGAAGTGCAAAAGAAGAGACTTGCTGTAGCGGTCCCAATTGTGAGTTCATGTTCAAGTGTCTTTTACTTGATGATGTACTAATCTTCACTGTCAGGTTACACTTGCTTTCTTTCGTTTATGTCAGTGCTTAGCGAATCAACTACTACGTGTGCTAATGCTGACATTCTGCTTCAGTTGCGGCTAATGGTAAGTTATTAAACACCATCATTTGTAGCTCTTCTGATTACACGCATCTCTCAAAAAATCAAATAGTTTCGATGGGCATGATGTGAGCAGTGTTTAAACATGCCATTGATGGCCACCGAAGCATGTTCCCCTCAGGATCCGCTTACAATCATATGCCGCATTCGTTCAACAACCTTTGTCGCGTGTAAGTGGTGGGCAACTTTGTATTATCAAATATATCGATTGGATATTTCTGCAGTGGATCTTCACCGTGGGCCTTTCACTTTCAGTGTTGGTGGATATCATGATCGCAGCATTCATGTGCTACTTCCTTCGCAAAAATCGTACAGTGGTTACAAGGTAAATTATTTTAAACCATGCAGAACTGGTGTTTACTTGTTTGATAGCACCATACGTATCATCGACACCCTGACACTCTGGACGATTCGCAATGGATCAATGACAAGGTACAATCTGGATGCAATTGAGCCACGATCCTATCCTGACGCCGCCTTCCTTACAGTGCTGCTGCCATCGCATCATTGATCTGCGTGGGCGTCTTGTAATTTTTCTGCTCAGTTCAGTTACTGAAATATTACAGTGGTTGGTTATGCCTGGCAACCGCATATTCCTGGGTCTTCACTTCGTTGTAGCGAAATGTAAGACATCTTAAATCCTTACGAATGCATCTCACCTACCAGGGGATATTATCGGAGCAGTATATGCAAACTCGCTTTTAGCCACGTGAGTAACTGTCATGTCTGATGCGGCATCCATTAGTTAGGTCTAAATTGCTGCTGCAGCCTTAATGCCAGGCAGCATATAAGAAACGGAAAGCAATATGATCCTTCGAGCGATCATCCTTTGCCGATCGTTTTTTCGGAGGACTGGGAAAATACAACTGAAACTTTGCGCTCGCAACACGGATTTCCCGTAGTAAGTGCCGTGGTCATCGTCACAGTCGAACTTGACATATATATATATCACAAAATCGCAGATGCAGCTTAATTCTTACATTCCGAGGGCTCAAAATGAAAAACGGGGGAAAACAGTTCGTAGACTTGCCATGAAGTATTATGACCGTTTTTGACCGTCGACTTCAAGCAGATCCAAGTAAATGTTGAACGGGTCGTGGAGTCCAAGCTCGAAAATGTTGCACTGGAACCGACGGAAAGCTGCACAGAAGGAAGTACAGTCTAATACGTTAATATTGTGCAGTTTGAGATTTGGCTATGCTGATGATATCACTTTCGAGTGCGAACATGTTATTGTTGATATGTTCAAAACTCTACTCTTTTTTACCATTTTGCGGCTCTTGTGAATCCTTGGTATTTATGGTCCCTATGTACTTACTTAGCCTCTTGATGCCAGCGAATTTGAACGAAATGTACTGAAGGTCGGTGGTTCATGAAAAATTAAATAAATCAAATCCCAGGGAGGAGGAGAGGGATGTTGATCAAATACCAAGTGGACTTAATGCACAGTGCCCCCCTCTACCAAATTGATTCACCAGCCGTATTTCATTATATTGCAATATCATGTATGTAATTGGCACACAATCCTGTCATGATACTGCTCAAATGTTTTCGCCATGTCTTTGGCGTACTCAATTGATAACTATTGCTTAAAGGTAAGTTATATACCAAATGACATGTACTATGATGTCCTCTTGTCATTTGATTGATTGAAAATACCAAAAGACAGTCAAAATAAAAGTGCTGCCAGTGAAGTGCTGCCATAGAGATCGACCTCACCCTGAGCTTCTGGTATCAGGCTTGGGAATCTAGTTCGTCACAAAACATCCAAACCAGTGTCCATAGAAACAAGGCAAATATGCGAAAGTATACTACGAGGGATCCGTGAAGTGCAGGAGTGGTAGGATCGGACGGTGCTACGTGGCGGAGCCTGCGGCCACGGCCCGCGATACTGCTTGGTAGGATTACGTCAGCGGGTACCGCTGGTGTGAGTGGTGCAAAGCTCCGACTTTTCAACAACGTCCGGTTTGGCTCGGCTCGGCCTAATCAGGCCCGGCTTCAAATCGGGCCGTGCACATACTCCCCTCAATTGTACAAATGGTCACCGGTCACCCTCGTACTCAAGTAGACATGTCTATGCTGACTGAACTTGCGCTCTTGCTTGACTGTTGAGCTTACTTTGACTTACAGCGATATTTACATGACTGCCAACTTCTGTGAGGTGCCAATTGCACCGGAAGGGATAAGTAGTACAAGTTATAACCCAGGTTAATAACAACATTGTTAATAGTACTGCAACTTTGCTGCAACTGTAGCTCAATATGTATTTATCAATGAAAGCCAAATGGAAAAGAACTGCAGAACGGCGAGATAAACAGCATAATATATCATTGGTGGTTAAGGGTAAAAGTGGCAGGGCGTCTAATGTCATACAAATCCCCCAGAAACGAGCCACTCATAGCACTCCGCTGCTAGTTCTTCACTATGGTCTATCGATCACAATCAGTATCAAAATAGTACAGAAAATTGAATACAAGGACACACTGATGCAGAACGCATGCGGGATCTCGTAGTGTCCGTGCACGACTTTCACAGTGCCAGGGTCTGCCTTGAAGACCTGGAGAATCGTTTCTCTTCCTTGGTCAACCCAGTCATCGGTCTCTGCGAAGTAAAACCAAATCTGATGTCGATATGTGTCCAAGGTGGCAACGTCCAGTTCTCTGATGCTGAGCATTTCATCGTGTGCCATCGTCATTGCCACAAATATCGACGAAGGAGATAGCAGAAATGATTGAAGGACGCGAGCTTGGGAGATCGGGTATTGTGGAAACAACCGACAAAGGATTGTTAGTGGCATAAGACGCAATAACCGAGCAACCTGTGATACAATGCGCGGAAACGGAGGCCGAAACAATCGCTGAGAGAAGGCAGGAATCGTGAGTATGACTACTACCAAAATTCAACTACCAACCGACAAGAGTCGACCATTCGGTGTACAAGCAATGTCTGTGAGAGTCGGGAAAAGGAAGAAAACCCCTGCAACGGCAGTGGATCGCAGTTTCAAGACCTTTCAAAGAACATTGGAGAGGCAGCACAGTAGGACACTTCGGAAACGGTACCTGCAGAGCTACCCATGAACCAACGCTGTGGCCAGCGATCACGGTACGTGTATTGGCACCAAAAGAGATGCTCATAACATCAAAAATTCGAAGGGAATTTTGTATCTGAAACGGCAACGCATGATTAAATGGAGTGTGGCTTGCCGGCGCAGCAGGGTCATGTCCGATATGTGAATGCGACAGTATCGCCAGTGTCCCAGACCTGTCCTGGTTGTGTATTGCAGTGAGAAATGGATGATAGAAGTCAATCATTCCAGGATTTCCTGTAGTCGTCCAAAATAAGCTCGGGCAAAAGTACTATATTGAACCTACCTGGTATAAAGAGCAGAATTGTGGAGGGTGACACACCTACTCGTTTGCAAGGCCACCAGTGCACATGTACAGGTGGTATATCATCGCTGGCAGGAAAAAGAGCATTTATATATGGAACGCTGGAATCTGGTGCTAGGGGTTCTAGAAATGGGGGTAAACTGGTTTTGGTGTCGCGGGTCATGCTGCATGCACCCAGTGAGTTAACTCCGAGTCAGGGTTCACCGTGACTGCAAGTGGGATGATTTGCTGTGAAGGTTTGTAACGTTTCAGTACATATTCTAAGTCAAAGGCCGCATCACCTTATTGGCAGCCAGAATTGGTGGTAGGCACTATACTAGCTAGAACTAGTAGACCGTCGTCAGTGTTTATAGGAAGTACTAAACTGAAATGATGGTGAGTAATAGTTTTCAGTGAGCCGTATTTGGTTATGTAAAACAAGCGTTTCTGGTTCGCGGTCATACAACTCAGATGTCTCGAATACCGACCTTTCCTGTCGAACCGACAGGCGTTCCCTCACTGAACAACTCAAACGGTTCTTATCCGACCACTAGACCGTTGCAGATCGCCCGCCCGCCATCACGTCAGGCAGCCCCCAGTAATAACACGTTTGCCTCCTCATCACCCAAGGGCTCAGGTTTTTCATCACCCAAGGGTCCTCTCCGCCCACAAAGATCAGAGCTGAGACCGCGTCAGGTATCTGAATATTCGGAGCGGGCTTCCACTTCATCTCGAGCAACCCAACTTGAAGATCACGCGGCAAGAGACCGTAGAGATAGTTCCAGCACAACGCGCTCGGATTCGTCAGCTGCGCCGCAATACCATAACGGAAGTATAGGCACTGCAGACAATAGGCCCCGGGTGGACATTTCACGATCTAGCGCTCATGATGAGACTTCCCCGACAACCCCTGCACTAGCTTCCGTCATGGCTGCCTTCAGGGAAGCTGGAGCTCGTAAACGTGCGATAACAAATGGTAACGAAGATATAGCATATGAACAAGAAAAGCAGAGGGAGAAGGAGTTGGAGATGAGGAGGCAAGAGCGCATCCGCGAGCGAATGCCATACCGGAAAGCAACCGGGAAGGCTAAAGCAGGAGACATCGACGGTGAGGAATCTAATCGTCGCAACCTGCCTAACTTTATGTCTTAGTTGTTTAATCGTATGCTGACATCGCGTTGCAGCTGTGCTTGACCAGATCAAGGACGAATGGGAGTTTGTCATTGACCCTGATGTAAGGCGTGGATTCTACTGTCAACCAGTAGCTGAGCGATATGACCTTGCAATCGTTGCAGTTTAACAACGTCGACTTGGCTTTGTCACTAGTCGATGACTCTTCGACAGGCAAAGGCATCGAGTCTTTTCGACAAACCAAGGTAATGCTTTCCCATGCATTAAAAGGATCGGTAGACAGTAAGCCCCGAGCTCTGCACTCGTGTCCTTATCAATAATGTTTGTACTTAGAGCATCACAAGGCGTTTGCGGATGCACTTCCGCATCACGCCGCTCTTCTCAATCACCTTGGACTTACCCAGACACAAATAAAGCAGTCGAAGACAGCTCTTATGGAAGCGAAGGAGGCGTTGGGAAATAAGCGCGCTGATCTTGTTCAACTGTGGTCAAGGGGACAGGTGTTAGAAGAGATGATGCGCTTGTTGGATCAGATGTCAGTTTCTTTTAATATGCCAATTGATTCACCTATTAACTATCCATCTATAAAGCGAGCATCTGAAATCGGTGCCCGACGCACTTGAGACTCTCATGTCGGAGAAAAGGTTGCTTCAAGCATCAGTTCTCCTTGTGCGGAGCCTCAAGTTGATCAACAAACCCGACATGCAAGAGATTGGAGCAGTTTCAGATCTGCGAAGTTATCTCATTGGTCAGGAAAATGTGCGTTTGTCAATTACTTAGCGACACGCAACATCTTATCACTTAGCAGGCTCTACGAGAAATATTGATCGACGAACTTCACAACCATCTTTATCTCAAATCCTTCTGGTGTGAGTCGCGGTGGGCTGCCTTTAAGCCGAATCAGACGGCCTGTAAGTCATCCCAATTTGTGCAACTCTCGCCTTGACTTGTCTTCGAAGTTCCCAAGGTTGAATTTGAGAACGAATCGAGTGGACAACCGTCTCCGAATGGCATTGCATATCCTTCCCCTGAATCGTCTTCACTGAAACTTGCATCTTCCCGATTATCTCGCTTTCTCAACTCTCTTGCACTCCGACCAAACGACCCTCCCCATGATCTCAGCGAATCGAACTTTCGCAGCAATGCATCTGTTCAGGATTTGTCTTCCTCATCTCTTCCATCCGCTCCGTCTTTTTCATCGAATCTTAATCTTGTTGCGCTTGCAACTCAGGCACCTCAGCTTGATGCAAACCCAGAAGGTGACTCCTTCACCTACATCGAAACTCTACTGGAGTCTCTCGCAGTCTTGGGAAAGCTTGGGAGTGCGCTCGATATTGTCGCACAGCGTTTGCAAGGCGAGATATACTCATTGGTCGAGTGTACTTTGGACGAAGTTGAGGAAAGAACAGAAGAGTCCAAGAGAGTTTCTCTGTTCGGCACAGCTAGCCTAGGAAGACGGTCAGAGGGTGGATATATTTTCGTTGCTAATGATTCCGTCGGCATCACTCCAGATGGTGTTGTTCCTTCGATGCCAGCAAAGGGTGTTCTCCTCCGGACCTTTTCCCTACGTCTTGCAGCACTGGAGTCTTCCACGAAACAAGTCGATCAGGAAACATTGAAGGACTTCTTTTGGACTGTTTATTCCAAGCTTGATGCAGTAACCCAG